CTGAAGTCGATAATTTTGTTACCCTGTTTACCGATGAGAATGAGGGATGGCGAGGCTAAACAAGTTACTCAAGGTTTCATGGTTATATGGTAGAGATGGGACTTGACTCAAGCTACTCGATTCAAGAGATAATGATCTTTAAATCTACACAATAACAAGAAAAAGAGAGGACCCAGAGGTAATGGTAATGGTGCATAGGAGTATCTTGCTAACATTATGCTTTAATTTCTCAATCTAGACAGTGAACACATTTACCAACTAGCAAAGATAGGGAGTTGGAAAAGTCAGCTGTCACCTACTGACAACTCAGAAAATTGTCCCTGCTGGGTTCCAGACCATTGGTCACTAGATCAAAATCGACTCTTCCCTCTCCCGTGCAGCATTTTTGTTTCTCCCAAGGTTGTTTTAGATTCTCACTGTTATCCTATCCCCTGTGGGAAAATGTGAAAGAGGATTGAGTGGGAAAACACTGAGATTTACCCCCAAATTCTACACCCTTATTGTTTGGATTCTGATATTTTTGTGGGTAGCTAGTCTGTCTCCTTGGTAAATTGAGCCCCAATTATAGTGTGATTAGAATGATAGATTCTTCATACTCTTCCAACAACCAATCAGTACTTATTTAAGGGCTTCTCTGAGTGAATCAGAAGATTTAGAAGTTCTGTCACTTTTCAAAAGAGTTTAAAATCTCATTTGGGAAAAAAGTGTGACAAACAGGAGACAACAGACAACAACCTAAGACAGAATAGATTGAACGACATACACTATGTGTTACAGGGATGAAGGCAGTGGTGTGTTGGTAAATGTGTAACAATCAGCTCTCCAGAGGGAAAAAAATCATGGTTGTCAACTTCTGAAATAAGACTATTTCTCCACAACAGATTTCAGTCTACCGATATGGTGTTACCAAATATGCAGCTGAAAAGAGATGTGTGCAATCTGCTATGTGTAGCCAGTGCAAGCTAGCTGCAGCCCTGAATGAAGTATAGGCTTTTGGAAAGGGATAGAAGTGAGAAACGGGGTTGTTGTGAGAGGATCTATGAAGGTGCTAGGCAAAGAGCTGAGTCTTGAAAGACTCCTAATGAACCCCTTTAAAAATTAAAAGCAAATCTATTCCAGTTTGGTAGATTGAAAATTCTTCACTTAAGCCAAGAATGGTAATACATAATAATTTTATTTGAGAGCTTTATGTCAATAATTTATTGGGGTGGGGAGTGGCGTGTGCTTCTAGGCACCGAGGTCCTGGAATCTCGGTGGGGAGCAGACAAGAAAAGACATCCCAGAAAAGAAAAAAATATATATCAACACTGGCACAGATTTGACCATAGTCATCAGAATGTTCCTAGACCCTGGGGAGGTTGGCCTGTCTGTGGAGGAAGAGACAGTGAAGATGGTGAATTGACTATGTAAAAAGGTGCCATGCCTTATCAGCCCAGCAGAAGTGTGTTTACCAAATCAGAGAAATGATACATAAATAGTATATCTGAATACAGAGGCAGTCTACTTTAAGCCCTTCATTTTGCAATTGAGGCCATAGAGTCACAGAGATAAGAGATTTACCTCAGACTACATTTTGACAATGACAGACTCCAGATCAGCTTCCAGATTTTCCAAGCCTCAACCAATTTCAATTTTTTTTGCATTATAATAAACTCACTTAAAGTATTGTAAGTCTAGCATAACAGATTTGTAGGGATAAAATCTTTTTCATGGCCAGATGAGAATATTTTTAAAAATCAACTTTGATAAAGTATAATACAACACATAACAATATAGTGTGATACAATACATTATATACTATGAGATGGTATAATACAGTGCAATTTAATACACTAAACATAATGTAACAAAGTTCAAAAATTTTATGTATATATTTTGGTGAATTCTGATAAATTCATAGATTCATGTTACCACCAATGTGATTAAGAACATTACTTTCACCCCAGTAAGTTCCTTTGTGTTCTTTTCGAGTCAATTCTGGCAACCACTGATCTGTTTTTTTCTGGCAGCATAAATTAGATTTGTGTTTCCTAGAGCTGCATGTAAATAGAATCATACCGATTTAACTCTTTTGTGTCTAATTTCTTTGATTCAGCCTTATGTTTTAAAGATTCAACCATGTTACTGTTTGTATTAATAATTTGTTCATTTTATTGCTGAGCAGCATTTAATTATGTGGCCATATTAAAATTTTTTATTTGGGTTATTTGCAGTTTTAGATTTTAGGAAAAAAGCTGCTAGGGACATTCACTTATACATATCTCTAGGTGAACACATGTTTTTATTTCTATTGTGAAAACACATAAAAAAATCACTGAGTCATGGAGTAAATATATGTTTAACTTTCTAAAATACTGCCAAATTATTCTCCAAATTGGTGATACCGTTTTACATTCCCACCAGCAATGTTTAAGAGTGCCAGTTCCTTTACTTCCTTGCCAACAGTAAGTGTTGTTAGGCTTTCTAATTGTAGTCATTCCAGTGGGTTTGTAGTGGCATCTCATCATGGTTTTATTTTACATTTTTTTATGGCGAATGATGTAGAGCATCCTTCCATGTACTTACTGATCATTTCTAAATCTTCCTTTGAAAAGTGTCTGTTCCAATATTTTGCCATTAAAATGTGCCTTATCATTGAGTTGTAAGAATTCTTTACATATTCTGGTTATAATTTTAGATATGTCTATGGTGAATATTTTCCCTTAGCCTGTGGTTGCCTTTTCATTTTTCTAGCAGCATCTTTTGAAGAGTAGAAGCTTTTGATTATGATAAACTTCAATTTGTGATTTTGTTCTTTTTTGGTTTATGTTTTTTGTTTCATAGCTAGGAACTCTTTGCTCATTTCAAGGTCATGAATATTTTATCCCTTATTTTTGTCTAGAATTTGTATAGCTTTATCTTTTATATATGTCTGTGATTCATTTTGAGTTATTTTCATGTATAAGATGAAATAAGGTTTGAGGTTTTTTCCCCATAAGACATTCAGTTGTTCCAGCAACATTTGTTGAAAATACTATCATTGAGATACCTTAGCACTTTAGAAGATGATTCTTTGTATCAGTTGACCATATATATGTGGGTCTAGTTTTGGACTCTCCATTTTGTTCTATTGTCTATCCTTGAACCAATACCATACCATCTTGATTACCATAGTGCTAAAATAAAATAGTGTAAGTTATTTAACTTTGTACCTCTTTCTCAAGGAGGAACATATTTGCTCCTCTGAGTATTCATATAATTTTTAGAATGTAAATATGTTTTATTATTCTTTCTAGATGACTTGATACCCTAATCTTAAATGGGTCATTGTGAATCTAGAAATGAATTTAGACAACAGACATACTTTAAGGAAAAAAAAATCACTAAATATGATGTCAAAGTAGATGTGTTTTCCAAAATACTGATCCCAATTGACAAAATAATGTCAAGGTCATTGAGGAGGACAGAAGAATTGATATAAAGAGCATTTTTTCCTGAATATAAGAATATAAATATTGATGTTTAGTTTGTTTTCAAAAATATAAAATGTATTATGATTGCAAGAAACACAAGTAGAAAAATCAAGAAGGAGATGTAAGAAAAATATTGGTGATGGAAATAGAGATTTGAGAGCTGTCAACATAGAAGTGATGACAAAAAAATTGAGAGGGAGAGTATGAAGAGAAAAAAAAGAAAAAACCCAGACCAAGGGTCAATGGTTGACCAGAGAACAGCATGTGTAATTATGGTATAGGTAGAATGAACAGATTTGTGGAAAGTAACTAAATGAGTACTGAGAAGAGAGAAAAATGATATCATGTCATGGAAACCAAGATCAGAGAATGTTTTCTTGAGACAGGGTTAGTAGTATCAAACAAAGCAGAAAATAATGAGAAAAAGGAGAAAAAGCAAAGTACGTTGGCTTTAGCAATGGACACATCTTTGGTCACATTATAGCAAACAATTTCATGGTGAAGCCAGTTTTCAAGGAATTATGAAAGTGGAAAAGAAAGCTTATTTAAGTAACTCTGAAAATGAAGGAGTACAATGAGATGATCATTAAAGGGAATCACAAGATCAGATGTATGTTATCCATGCAGGTTGTATGTGCTTACATTATGACAAAAGAGACTAGTTTTTTTGCTTCTCAAATTATCTGTCCACAAGATGTTTAAACACAAATAAGCCAGTTGACTCCAAACAGCTAACAGACTCTTCTTCCTCCCTTCTTTCTCAACTCTGGAGCTTATATCCCCTTTTCTACTCCTCAAGTTCTCCTAATTCTTTATAATTAAAGTGGAAACTAGTCAGTGTTTTCTTAATTATATATCTCTCTTCCTGACTTCACTCAACAAGACTGCTGTAATCAGCAAAGTATTTCTTTGGTGAGACTTGAGTGATCAATTTTAGTGACATGAGTTGTGTTGTAGTTGTTCTGTTTTGAGGGTGCAATATATTTGGGTATATTATTTCTCTAAATTCAAGTTTATACATTCAGAATTCAACTGAAATACTGTGCAAAATGTCTTTGGTGATCCTGTTACCAAATCCAGTGACTACAAAGTCTGCCTTCCTTAAATACTTCATACTGCTATATCATTATTTTCTCAAAATATTCACCTATAGTTTTCTTGACATACATTTTACCTGTGTTTCTCCTTGTTAAGAGGGTTTAAGTGATGGATACTATTATTTATTGAAGTATAGAGCACAACTTTCTCCTTGCTGCTCCTTTTCTCTAACATCCTATACTGTCTGTGAGGTGAGTATATGCTCAGAGGTTTTCTCTAAGCACAAAAAAGTGTTCTTCAGTGATAATGTTCATATGTATAAGCTTCAAAGAGGCACACGTAGGTGTCTCTCTTCGTGTACAAGACTACACACATGCAGGACAAAAAGAAGAAAACTAGTCTCACTGTCTCAGTTCAGATATCATTGTTCTTTGTTTTAAAGTTCAATTACTGATGCAAATTTTCTTCTTGATGACTACCTTTATTGCTTTCAGGCACTGATAGAGCAGAATGCAGAGAAAGAACTTCACAGAAGTGACAGAATTCGTCTTCTTGGGATTCTCTAGTTTCGGAAAGCATCAGATAACCCTCTTCATGGTTTTTCTAACCATCTACATTATTAAAATGTAGCATTAAGCTAGCTGGTAACATCATAATTGCGACCATCATCCGCATTGACCACCATCTCCACACACCAATGTATTTCTTCCTGAGCATGTTGGCTAGTTCAGTGACGGTGTACACACTGGTCATTGTCCCGCAAATGCTTTCCAGTCTCATTTTTCATAATCAGACCATCTCCTTGGCAGGTTGTACAACCCAAATGTTCTTTTTTGTCATCTTGGTCATTAACAATTGTTTCCTGCTCAATGTGATGAGCTATGGCCGCTACGTGGCCATCAGCAAGCCCCTGAGATACATGACCATCATGAGCAGAGGACTATGTACCCAGCTGGTGTGTGGATCTTTTGGCACTGGTCTGGTTATGGCGGTTCTCCATGTGACAGCCATGCTCAGTGTGCCCTTTTGTGACACCATAGCGGACCACTTCTTCTGTGCCATCTACCCAGTGATGAAACTTTCTTGCATTGATACCACTATCAATGAGATAATCAATTAGGTTGTAAGTTCATTTGTGATTTTTGTGCCCATATGCTTGATTTTTATCTCCTATACCCTCATCATCTCCTCCATCCTTAAGATTGCCTTTGCTGGGGGACGGAAAAAGACTTTTGGCACCTGTGCCTCCCACCTCACCGTGGTCATTGTCCACTATGGCTGTGCCCCCATTGCCTACCTCAAGCCCAAATCAGAAAGCTCAGTAGAAAAAGATCTTCTAAGCTGGGCTCGGTGGCTCAGCCTGTAATCCCGCGCCTTTGGGAGGCTGAGGTGAGTGGATTGCCTGAGCCCGCGGGTTCGAGACCCGCCTGGGCAGCAAGACCTCATCTCTACAATAAATAAAAAAATCAGCCGGGCGTGGTAGCACGCGCCTGTAATTCCGGCTACTCGGAAGGCTGAGGCGGAAGGATCGCCGGAGCCCAGCAGGTCAAGGCTGTGGTGGCCGGGAGTGGCCACTGCACTCCAGTCTGGGCGACAGAGTGAGACTCCAGCTCAAAAAAAAAGAAAAAAAAAAGAAAAAGATCTTCTTATCTCTGTAACCTACACCATCATCACTCCCCTTCTGAATCCTGTTGTTTATAGTCTGAGAAACAAGGATGTCAAGGATGCCTTATCCAGAGTTGTGGGCAGAAATATTTCTTAACAGATTGAATCATTTTGTCAAGACACCTTTAGCCCATAGTCCTCTACTCACAAACATGCCACAGTACATACATTCTTCAAATACAATGTTTGTTTATAATAATGTCAGAGAATAGAAATGCTTTCTTTTCTGTGTCCTAGGGATGGCAGAAAGCAGAGTTTCTGCTCTGGTGAATTTTGTTACCAGGTACAAGAAATGTTCCAAGCTGGATTAAGACTACTTGTTTCTGTGCTTGAAAATTTTGGTTTTGAAATGCCTTTTGGCTCTTATTTTACAGGAACTCTGGCAGACAAATCCTTGACCTAGTCGGGTGAGGGAATGTGGAGAAGAGAAAGTGGGAACATAGGTGGCATGGGTCTTATGAAAATAAGCTGCAGAGAGAGCAGCTTCCATTCATCTCTTGTACAAAAGGGAAGGCTTTCATTTTTCAGGAGTTAAGTCATGTGCCCTGTAATTTTAGAAAGAGTTTCCTTAATTCTTGCTGATTAAAAAACTGAACATCTTTACAAAAAAAAAGATTCAGTCCCTTCTTTGTTATCCAGCCATGTTAGCTCTAAATAGTATTAATTTATATGTGCATTCTTTCCTTCTGTGCAATCAAGGCAAAAATCTCTGCTTTTTGCTAGAAGCTAAGCAGGGAAAGAACATACTGGTGGCATTTCTCTGTAACTGCATATTTATCCAGATTAACTTTTCATAAAGACTCCTGTTTTCAGCCTATGGTAGCTTTTTAGAATTTTAGTCAATACGCCGTAGCTACAGTGCCATTGACATTATTGTCTTAGGTATTAGTTGTGCTAATTTCAGAGTCCAAGATAAATGACATTAATTTCAATTCACTTAGTAAATAGTGCAAACTTCGTTCTTCTCTAGATACTTATTTGTAACCAAATAAATATAACTGTGCTATATTATTTAATATCTTCAGTGGGTAAAGTCATGAAATTTTTAAAAAATGGATCTTCTCACCAGAGTTTCTCTCTTCTGAGACATAGTTAGAAGATATTTTCTAAGAGACAAGTTGGGAAATATCTGCTTTTTAAAAAAATGTTTTATTTTAAAGATGTGGGGTATAATTCAGGTTAGGTATACAAATGTTTTTTATGCAGATACCCTGCTGATGGGGTGTGTACTGCTGCGGCAGTTTCTTACTACTGCCAATCCTCCCCCCTCTTTTTTTTTTTGAGTTGGAGTCTCACTCTGTTTCCCAGACTGGAGTGCAGTGGCCACTCCTGGCCACTGCAGCCTTGACCTGCTGGGCTCCACCTCAGCCTTCCAAGTAGCAGGAACTACAGGCAAGCACTACCACACCTGGCTAATTTTCGATTTATTGTAGAGATAAGGTCTCACCAAATTGCCCAGGTGGGTCTCGAACCCGCGGGCTCAGGCAATCCACTCACCTCAGCCTCCCAAAGCACGGGATTACAGGCTGAGGCTCCAATCCCTTTCTTATAGCATTATGATAATTGTTCAAGGCCTGCTTATGAGTGAAAACATATGGTACTCTGTTCTTCGTTTCTGTGATAGCTCACTGAGTATGATAGACTCTAAATCCATCCAAGTTGCTGCAAAGTCCCTGTCTTTGTCCTTCTTTATGGCTGCAAAATATTCCATTGTATATATGTACCATGTTTTTTTAAAATCCAGTCCAGCTTCAATTAGCATCACGGTTGGTTCCATATTTTTGCTATTGTGAATAGTACTGCAGTAAACATAGTTGTGCAGGCATCTTTTTTGTAGAATGATTTTAGTTCCTCTGGGTATATTCCCAATAGGAGGATTGCTGGGTCATATGGAAGTTCAATTTCTAGTTGTTTCAGAAATTGTCACACTGTTTTCCAGAGAGGTTGCGCTAGTTTGCCTTCCCGCCAGCAGTGTAGAAATGTTCCTTTTCCTCCGCATCCTCACCAGCATCTGTTGTTATTTGTTTTATTAATGATGGCCATTCTTACTGGAGTTAGGTGGTGTCTCAATGTGGTTTTGATTTGCATTTCTCTGATGACTAGTGAGGCTGAGCACTTTTTCATGTGTCTGTTGGCTGCCCATATATCTACTTTTGAGAAGTGTCTATTCATGTTATTTGCCCACTTTTTAATAGTGCTGTTTTTTTCCTTTCAGCATGTTTGATCTCCCTGTGGATCTTGGATGTTAGGACTTTGTCATATATACAGTTGGCGAATATTTTTTCCCATTCTGTGGGCTGTTTCCCTGCTCTCTTGTTGTTTTTTTTGCTTTGCAGAAGCTTTTCGGTTTGATGAGATCCCATTTGTCCATCTTATTCTAATGGCACAGACACTTGGAGTTTTGATAAGGAACCGGTTGCCAGTTCCAAGGAAACATCTGCTTTTATAACCTACTATTCCATCCCAAAGTCAGTTTCTATCCCTTACTTTTCTATTTTCTTTTTCTGTTCTGAAACACAGAAGTGAGGTTGAGTATCTTCTAGGTGGCCTATAATTTTCTATCTATTCTATGAATCCCTATGTGAGGGGGTCACAAGCTAGGGATAGAGAGGCTGTCATAGATAGGAAGCATAAGTGTCACCTTGTGGCAGACTGTCATAGATAGGAAGCATAAGTGTCACCTTGTGGCAGGCTGTCATAATTAAGAAGCATAATAACTGAAGTTGTGTCTTCCTGAGAGGCAGTGACTGATATCTTTCTAAAGAAGTATCTTAACCTGAGGTTCCTAATTTCCTGGGGGGTGCCTGGGTAGGTGTCAGAGGGTTTTTAATCTCTTTTAACATTATTCACTAAAATTTGAATATAAATGCACTTTCCCCTTCATATTCTTAAAGAATATGCTCTGGTACAAGTATTTCTTCCCTCAAATAAAAGCAGATCCAACTTTCCTTCATTACAGATCATTTACTTTCATAATATCCTTAGTCTGTCTTAGAGAAACGTCCTTTGACCTTGTCCACTGTTGCCTATTCAAAACTCACTATTGAGTTTTCTTGCCTTCTTCCATCCCTTGACCCCATTCTATAAGTATCTTATTTATTTATTTGTTTGTTTGTTTGTTTATCTATTTATTTTAAGCTGGAGTCTCACTCTGTTGCCCGGGGTGGGGTACAGTGGCCCGCTCATGGCCACCCCAGTGTCTGCCTGCTGGGATCCAGCCATCCTTCCACTTCAGCCTTCCAAGTAGCCGGATCTACCGGGCTTGCTACCACGCCTGGCTATCTGTAAGTATTTTAATGCCATTCTTACCCTCCACAATATCTTACAGATGAGTGAACATTCCACTAGTGTTAGTTGTTTTATATACTTTGTATGGCTTTCGACTTACTGGAGAAAGCACCTTCTTCAGGAAAAACACAACAGTATAAGGGTGGGTAGGTCTATGTGGTCACTGATTCTTCTAGTAGGATGAATCAGAAAGAGTGAGTCATTTTTTTGCTGCCACCTATAATCTATTCATAATGCTTATGTTGCTGGTTAACATGTGTGTTATTTTCACTATTTCCAATGTGTTTGTTATTATGATTATGATTAATCTCCGATATCTCACTCTACCTGTATTCCTTTTTCTTTCTTGTACTGTACCTCGTAAATACTTCCATCCTTTTAGTATTTTTTTTTTGCTAAGTTCTTTCATTCTGCTCATAATATCATTTATTTATTCAATGTATAGACATTTTTCAAGCACTATGTGCCAAGCAACTAATGATTTCCAGGGTTATTATAATGAGTCATTTGGGGACTCTGTTTTCATGTTATTCTCTGTCCAACAGAGAGGCCAACTAAAAACAAACAAGCCAAACAAACAAACAAAAAAACAAGAAGTACAAAAACGTGCCAGAGGCACATGCACAGAATTGTTGTTTGGGGTCAGGGGTGTTGTTCATAAAAGGGAACTGGTCAAGTCTATTTAGAAGGTCAGAAAAGCATTCATAGAAAGGTGATATTTAATTAACTTTTTGTGGTATTGGGTCAATTGAAGTCTTGGAGGGATGAGAGAGGGTTATAAGCGAATGGGAAGAACTTGAAAAGAGACACACAAACCTGAAAAAGCCAGACATGTTAAGTTGTTAGGTGTTTTATTCACCTGTATGTCCATTGCCCTGTTAAATATTAGCCTGACAAAAATGTAGGTGTTTACTATACCTTTAGATAAATGAATATGTAAACACTTATTAAGTATAAGGTGCTGTCCAAGGATTTCCAGATATATTTTTTTGATAGACACATTTTATCATATTCCATCTGTCTGTTGTATAGACTTTCCTCACCTAAAGTAAAGTAAACAAGAAAGGAACAAAGTAGAGGTGACAGTCTTGGAAGCATACCTGAAATTATTTTCCACCCACCCATGGTAGAAATGCCTACAAGTCGTTCTTACTTGCTTCATAAAGTCAGTTGGTTATTTGTCAAATATTTACATTACTTAGTCATTTAAAACGAAAACATGAGTCTTTCTTTTAAAGGAAACTCTATTAGCACTGGATTAATATGTTTTATCCATAATAGGACAGTAACTTCAACAAACTTTAAAACAGTTGCTTGATAGCTTGACATATAAAAATCAAGAGTTTAGATTTCTCAACATTCACCTTTCAGAAAAATTATGGAAAAGAATTTTATAAATATTAAAACTTCTGAAATATGATTTTTGAAGTGTTGACTTTGGAGCTTCTCTAGAGAAAAACCAGTTTTACCTGATATCCTTTTATATTACCCAATTGCAATCTATGATGGATTAGAGAAGAAAATAACTGCAGCACTCCCCAAAATATATAGAATAAATTGTTTTATTAAGGTGAAAATGCTTTTTGGAGAAGAGAGAGGAGAGAAGTGTGAAGGAGAGATAAAATAAAGCCAAAGATAAACAGGTAGTACATGGCACACAGAGCTTAACTTTTAAAGACATATTCAAGGAGTCCAAGTCCAAGTCAGTTTTGTTGCTGTACTGAGGCGTGCATGCAAATGGGAGAGAGCGTGTATGTGTGAGCATACATGTATGCCTATGCATGTTTTGTGGGGCAGGTGCTAATATTT